GGTACAGGGAACACCAGGTTGAAAGCTGTAACAAAGCCATGACTAACACTGGGGATGCAAACATAGGAACATAACCCGTAAACTACTGTGAATTACCTTTGGCAGTGGGACTCCATGCAGATCTCTCTTTGCTTACCTCTGGCCTTTTGTTTTGTTTTGTTTTTAATCTTTAAAAACTTTTTCAATTACCATTGAGATTCAATATTATGTTAGTTCAAGGTATATAGCACAGTGCTTAGACGTTTATATAACTTACCATGTGATTCCCCTGATAAGTCTAGTACCCACCTGGCACTATCAGTTTATTCTATACATTTATGGGTATGTTTCTGTTTTGTTTGCTTATTTTGTTTTTAGATTGCCCTTTTCTGTCTGACTTATTTCCTTTAGCATAATACCTTTTAGGTCCATCCATGTTGTCACAAATGGTAAGATTTTATAATGGCTATCATCAGTAAATCAACAAACAGCAAGTGTCAGCGAGGATATGCAGAAAAGGGAACCCTCATGCACTGTTGGTGGGATTGCAAATTGGTGCAGCCACTGTGGAACACAGTATGGAGATGTCTTAAAAAATTAAAACTAGAACTACCATATGACCCAGCAATCCCACTTCTGGGTATTTACTTGAAGAAGTCCAAAACAGTAATTAAAAAAGATACGTACAGCCCTATGTTCATTATGGCATTACTTACAGTAGCCGAGATAGGAAGCAACCTAAAGTGCCTGTTGACAGATGATTAGATGAAGAAAATGATGGTACATGTGTACAATGGAATCTTGCTTGGCCATAAAAAAGAATGAAACCTCTGGACTTCTTCATGTGACCAAGAAAATATTTAATTTCTAGGATCAAAAAGACTTTTAGATGCTAAAATTTCCGACCAAGAGAGTGGACACTCACAGAAACTGATCATTTTGTGTTCTGCGTATTGAAGACTTAGTTGTATCCAAAGTACTTAATGTGCTTAGTATGCTGTGTGCCATGTGGTGGATGCTCATGAGTATTAGTTATTATCATTCTCCTTGGTTTTCATTTTTGATCCTCAAGCTCTCCCACAGGTTGGACCCTGAGACACCATGCTTATGCTTGTGGCCTTGCACATTCAGTGTGACAGTCATATCAACACAAAGTGGATTCAATATTCACATAGGGACAAGTATGCACAATAACAGTGCAGTTGCTTTATTATAGGGTTATTGTGTGTTGAGGCTGGTGCCCAGTATGTCTGTCTCTCCTTGTCTCCTGGCCTTTCACTGGAAGGGAGGGAGGAAGTGAAAAGAGAACCCATGCACAGATTTGTAAAGAGATTGTGAGAACACAACTGTTTAACAGTATTCCTGGGGCATAGATAGCTTTCTAGGCTGCTGAGAGAATTTGGGGAAGAGACACTGAATGGCTGTTAGAATTATTGTAGAATCATGGAAAATTAGAGGAGCTTTAAATGACTGGCAAAGGATCTAATATTCTGAAGAAGACACTTTTTTATCCCTGATTGTAGGTTCCATTTCATTTCCCAATAAGAGTCTAACATAGATTTATTTATTTTTTTAAATATGTCTTTATTGATTTCAGGGAGAGGAGGGGAGAGGGGGAGAGAGAGAGAGGAACATCAATGATGAGTCATTGATCTCCTGCCTCCTGCACACCCCCTGGTGGGGATCGAGCCCTCAACCGGGGCATGTGCCCTGAGTGGGAATTGAACCTCGATTTTCTGGATCCTAGGTTGATGCTTAACCCCTGAGCCATGCTGACTGGACTAACAGATTTTTAAAAGATGGTTTGTGGGCATCTGCTGAGGAATTTCACAAAGAGCAAGCCAGGCCAGATCGGGCCATCTCTCCTGGGATGGGTCACCAGTGGATATCTCAGGAGGTCACACATTTGCATCTCAGCCAAGAGTCCTGATACACATCGATATTTATTTTATTTTAGTGCCTGTTATGTGCTAAGCACTATAAGAAGCATTGGGGATGATTGAGCTAGAGGATTTCAGTTTTATGATGTCAGAGTATTGTATATCTTTCTCAGAAAGATGCCTACAATGGAATGGTTGGAATAATCATATAGGTCACATTAATAACAGGCTTAGTAAATATACATTTTTATAATGATGCTTATGCATTCTAGGATATGGTGAGAAAATCTTAGTCAGTGATGAGCCTAGTCCAGAAGATATATCTATTTTTTTGTGTGACAAAGACACAAATTGAGATGAATTGTGACACTAACGAAGTTTTACACTCTTTCCTACTTATTTAAAAAAATCTAGTTGTATATGTACAAGTGTGTGATGTGTGTATTAAAGATTTAACACTAATGCATAGATTTTTATGACAAACCATTGGGATAGAAATAAAATAAGTAAAAACCTTCCTAAAAAGACTCTCCTTCCTCTCCCCACAGCAGCGTTATCACCTACAACCACTGCTGCACAACCACAAACGCAGTTCCTGACCCTGGGAGGCGGTGTGTGGGTGAGCAGGAGAACGTGTCCGTTATTACAGCCTGTGTGTACTTTGTTCTAAGGGACCATTGTCGTCACCCAGCTCACAAACTCCTCAGGTCAAGGACTGTGTATTATAACCTTAAAATCTGATAAAATGCCGGGACCCTCACAAGTTCTCAATAAGCACTTTTTTGATAATGTATCTTTCTTCCCCCAAAATCCTTAGGTTGATCTGATATTGCATTGATTATAGGATCGCATCTGTATTCTTTTCTTACTGCTGCTATATCAAATTAACACAAAGATAGTGGCTTAACACAACACAGATTCATGACCCTACGGGTCCAGATGTCAGAAATCCCCCAAATCGAGGCGTTGGCAGGGCTGCGCTCCTTCCTAGAGGCTCTCGGGGAAAATCTGTCTTTTTTACCTCTTCCAGCTCCTAGTAGACCCACATTCCTTGGCTGTGGTCTCCCTCCTTCGCCTTCAGCAGCAACCCTCTGACCCGTTTCCCGGCTACATTTCTTTCTCTGAGCACTCAGCCTGGGAAGATGCACTTGCTTTAAGGGCCCATGCGTTTGGACAGGGCCTGCTGTGGCCCAGGGAATCGCATGTGGGTGTCGCATTCACAGCGTATGGGATTAGGGTTAGGGTGCAGCTCAGGGCCTGCTGAGAGCCTATTACGCAGCATCCAAATAAGGAAAGCGGTGGTCCCAAGTTCTCCACTGTGCCCAGAACATTTCACTCCACTTCTCTTTAACCTTGAAGTCTGTAGTAAAGAAGCAGAGCGGCAAGGACATTTGGGGGTGTGCCAGCCTAAGGGGTGCTTAAGGGAGCAGGGTGTTTACCTTAGAGGAAAAGAAGACCTATATTCAGGGGTGGACTGGGGGTTGCACTTCCAGGGGAGCAGGACGATCATTTCCTTAGGATATCAGAGAGCTCTGTCATATGCGCAGACAGGGGACAGAATCGGGTGGATTACAATTAGGGAAACAGCTTTTGGTAGAAATTGAGGCAGAGCAGTGTGGCCATTATTGATGTCTTACGTCCAACAGGCTGGAAATGGCATGGCTTGATGACGTGGGGAGTCTTTTAAAGGAGATTTAAGCATTAGGTAAGGGATCAGCTGAGGTGAACTCTCAAATTCCACTTAACCTTCACAGTCACTGATTCTGTGACAGACTTCCATTCATGACCTTTGGGCACCTCCAGTTGCATAGAGCTGGAGCTGGCCAAAGCCCTACATCCTTCCTGAGGAGGCATCTTTGTGTCCTTGCCAAATAGACATCTAGAGATGCCAAAACGAGAAGTGGGGAAGGAAGCTGGTAGAGTTCAGGTGCCTCTTAGAGATGCAGTGACTCATTGCCATTGAGAATATAAAACCAATAGCCACAGAGGCAGCACGGATTTAAAAATATTATACAAATAGTTAAAAATATTCTCTGGCATATTCAGACATGGAAAGAAACCATAGAGTCAAGGCATAAAGGAAGTGTCGATTCATTGCTATGAGGCGGCTTGTTTGGGTATTAAGTATGACTCATCTTTTGAGGAAATTGGATACTTCTAATGAAGAAAACGAGAGAGTGGACCAGATCCTTTCCTCTTAATCCAGAAAGCAATATAGTTTTGAGAATTATTTCATCAGTCCACTTTTGGGATGATTATTTGGAATGACTTGTATGAGATCTGGGAGCTGCTGTAAAGCACATTTTATTTTTTTTCCATCACCATTGATCCCCCCCATACCCTCTTCCACCTCCATCCCACCACAGTCGCCACACTGTCGTCCACATCTATGAATTCTTTCTTTTCTGCTCAATCCCTCCACCCACTCCCCAACACCCCTCCCACCAGAGCTGTCTGTCTGCTCTCTATGAGTACATTTTAATACTTTAAATAGTTTATGTTACCATATCCTTGGATCTTTTCAGTACACATCTGAATGTCTAGGTTATAAACCTGAACTATATTCAGTTTTATGTTAGACCATTCGACCCCCAAACTATTGTCTATCCCCAACATGTCCAAAATGAATTAAGAAATTAATCACAATTTCAATGGTATTCAAGAGAAACCTCTGTGGTTCTTTAGAGCTGCCATTTATGTATTTTCAGAGGGAGCCTTAAGTGTCTCTGGGCCACCCTAGACTAAGAGGAGCTTGCTCAGACACGTAGCACGGGGCCAATACTGTCAATGACTTCTTACCATCCCTCTTCTTTCCGCTTCTATGGGTTACCCAATAGCAATAATGATCACTCCAGCCAGCTCTTGATGCCCCTCTGTACAGTCAGGGGAAGGTCAGCTATTTTTTGATCCCCAGGGGAGAGAGAGCTCCTCAATCAGTTTCCTAAAATAGCTGGCCATTCCCAGCTGCTGGGCTGGAGGCCCTCCAGGGGCGAGCAAAGGGAATACAGTCTGCCTGCTGGCCGTGAGGGAGAAGCCACCAAAACATGAGCTAGGAGAGGCTTCTCGAGACGATTCTGCCTACTCAGAATCTTCATTTATTTTTTGTTGAGAAGCTAGGCGGCTGCCATTCTTTTCAATTTCTTGTTGTACTTAAAGGGAAGCCAGGGAATTGAAAATGAGACTAAACGTCGCCATCTTCTTTGGGGCTCTCTTTGGGGCCCTAGGGGTTTTACTCTTCTTGGTGGCTTTTGGATCGGACTATTGGCTTCTCGTGACTGAAGTGGGGAAGTGTTCCAGTGACCAGAATGTGCGTTTCTTTTTCAAAGTATTCCTGTGTGAGGTGGTGGTGAGGGTGGCCTTGGTTTCCATTTGACCCTGGAGAATAGTAGGGGAGTGTCTGTTTCTTCATAGAAGAGATTGGCAGAAAGCTACTGGTCGTCATTATTGGGATAAAAGGCAGTGCTTTGGAAACTTCATGGATATGAGCCTTTAGGTGACGTTCCTTGTGTTGACAAGGTACTTCATTTGTGTTCCCTGCAGATGGAGAACGTCACCTTTCACCACGAGGGATTCTTCTGGAGATGTTGGTATAATGGGATTGCGGAAGAAAACAGTTCCAATATCTGGAAGTTCTGGTACGGTAAGTGCACTTTTGTTTCATTTTATCCTTTGTCTTTAAAATAAAAATGAGCAGCTTCTTATTTAGTACCTGTCCCTAACAAAATAGGGTTGGATTCTTAGTTGCAGAATTTCAGTAGGGTCTCTTCAAAAAGTTCATCAGGTGATTGCTGCTCAGTAAGTAGAAATGGCTGTAGCAACAATTATTTTATCCTAACATATAAATGGGAGGTTGACTTTTGTGGAAAAACCGAGTTATCTGCTGTTTCCTTGTTCATATTTAAAATACACCAACCCTAACAAACAAACAGGTATAATTTATAGTATTTTTTCCGAGCGTCCATTGCTATATTGTAAATAAATGTTTTTATTTTTTAAAAATCCAGACATAGAGATGCATTATTTCATATTCATGGATTCAAAGTTAAAAAACCTCTTTTTTGTAATGAAGCTCAACCCCCGCCTCTGGCAGAGGAAAGCGCGCTTGACCTGGGCTTCCACCAGGCTCGCAGCGCCTCGCTTCTGATGTTCACATTCTGTCAGAGGGACTTTAAGGTTTCTTTGAAGTTGAACAGCTTCTTAAAAATACGATGCATTCTTTCAACTGTGCTTCTTATATTGTATTCGTCTTTGAAAATCATTTTATTGAAAATAGCTAGCCTTTAGCTTATTGCAGCAAACAAAGGGAAGAACGGTGTATTACCCTAAAGCCTATTGTGCTTGAAATTATTAGTCTCCTTATGAAATACTCCTGTGATGAGCCCAAATACGATATTTACAGAACAGTGAAGATGATGGACTATGTAGTAAAAATATACGATCACGGAAGACTTGAGCAAGCCGATGGCACGTTGCGTATTTTAAAGGGCCAGAGTAGTGATGAAATGGCGTTTTGAGAGAGAAATTTTACAGACCATCTTATAGTCATTTCAGGAAGGAAAATGGGCAAGTGATATATTACAAAGTCTTGAGACTTTGGTAAAGTGGGGTGTATCAGACTGTGCAAGAGGAGGCTTTTGCCAGGGACTTAGAGAAACAGACTATTTTACCCCCTTAAAATGTACGCAGTGAAATCTCCAAGTTTTCAAACAACATACAAGTTCTTTCTCGTGGTTTCTTCAAATGCTAGAAACATATTGAATCATTAAGTCGTATGATCTATCATTTCCATCTTTCCCCTAGAAACAAGTTAAAGAAGAAATTTTATATTGATTGGTACTGATCAAGGTTAAATCTAAGCTTATTAGATTTTCAAAACAATTCCTTTTTGAATAATGCCGTGCTAGGCATTATGTAAGGAGCTGAAGACTATGGCTGGGCAAAGAAATGAAATGCAGCGCCTTCAACTATAAGGTGATGGAGAAAAGGGGTTCTCTGCATTGAGACGTGTCGTGAGCTGGATGTTTGGGATGCATCCTCTTCTCTGTACGAGAGTTTTAGAAAGCCTCCCCTTCACCCAGCAGTTCTCTGGGTTTGTTCACCTATCCCACAGTTTTATTTAGCATATGTATCCTCAGACTCCCTATTTCTCTTCTGTTAGGAACGAGTCCTCACCAGGTGCTCAGTAACATACCATTGGTTTTGTCGCCTTCCTAGGCAATCAGCCAGCATCCAAGAACTGCGCACATGCCTACCTGTCGCCGTACCCCTTCATGAGAGGCGAGCACAACTCCACCTCCTACGACTCTGCAGTTAGTAAGTAGAATGTCCACAGAATGTCTCTGAGAAAACATGTCTCCCTGGAAAATGCCACCACAACACTTTTGTGGGCAATGAAAAAATAATTTAATATCTGTAATTTCAACATTTTCTCCTACATCAATCTGTTATATACAAAAGCATAAGATGTCATTTTTAACACACTATTTATAATCCTAATAGACTATAACCTTAGTGTAAAAGTTAATTATCATTTACTTGCCGTTTATAAAGATAACTTTTTAAAAGTGTGTTTTCTGATATAGAAATAGTAATGTTTATTAGGGAGAACTGCTTCTTAAAGGTTTAACTGAACTACAATGTCTTACGGTAGAAAATACTATAGTATACACTCTGCTTGTAGGACATTTTTTTTTGCAGTTGCTACACATAAGAATCTGATTTTGTTCCTGTGTTCCTACAAAGTAGGTGCACTTGCTTCTGGGACAGCCCGCTGAAGAAGAGCCAGGTGTCATCAACTGGGAGTTCTGACTATCTACCTTCTTGTTGTTGTATTTTCATACTATTTGTTCTATTGAAAGTACATAAGCATAGTTTCTATGGAAAGTACATAATATGCTGTACATAAATTTAGTTTTACAGAAAGTACATAAGTTTAATATGTCAACTTTATTCTCAGTTGGTTTCATGAAGTTTTAAATAAAGAATGTTCATCCTAATTTTAAAACTAAGGGTTGGTAGGTCATTTCAAAGAGAACTTGTGGAACCAAACCCAGGAGCTCTTAACACTGTGACCAAAGACTGAATTTCTCCATAGGATGTAACTGTCACTCAATAATGCTGTATTTTACTGAGGAAAGAAAAGATCTAATCGCTTCTATCCATGATTTGTGACATTGGAAAGTAAATAAATGTCTCCAAAATTAAAAGAACAAACCAGAAAACCCCCACAAAAAACTAAGAGTTGGCACATAATTTGCTAATGTCATAAACAGAGCCAAAAATATTTGTTTTTCAAAGAGAATACATAATATATTTAATATTCTGAATAAGTCAGGATTTTCCAGAGAATCAATAGGAGATACATAAGAAAGATATTGAGGAAGAGACTTTAAGGAGTTGGCTTGTGCAGTTGTGGAGGGTGGCAAGTCTGAAATCCGTAGGTCAAGCCTGTAGGCTTGGAGATTCAGATGAGTTGATGTTGCAGTCTTGAGCTGGAGGCTGGAAACCCTGGTGAAATTTCTATGTTTCAGTCTTGAGGAGAATCCCTTCTTCTTCAGAAAACCTCAGTCCTTGTTCTTAAAGCCTTCAACTGATTGACTGAGGCCCACCCTCATTATGGAGGGTACTCTGCTTTTCTTATAGTCTACTGATTATAAATGGTAATCACATCCATCTAGTACCTTTACAGCAACACCTAAATGAGTGTTTGACCAAACAGCTGGGTATCATAGTATAACCAAGTTGACACATAAAATTAACCATCACAGAACTTCCATTATTCATCTACTTTTTATCTTTCTATAAAATTACGTATTCCTATACATTATAATTTTGTTTTAAGTTTGTCAAAGGTGGTAGCATTGGTTTTGTCACATTATTAACATGGCATTTTATGGAGTGGAATGGGGTCTGCATAGGAAAAGAGCTGAGCTGAGCCACAGCTGTGCTTGTCTACCTGAGTTGCTTGTCACAACATAGTCGAAAGGATTGTGACTGTTGGTCTAGCAAATGTGTGTGGTGTGGATACTCTTTCCCATTAAAACTGCATGAGGTTCCTTGGCCAGTGTGGCTCAGCTGGAAGGGCTTCATCCTGAGCACTGAAAGGTTGCCAGGTTCAGTTCCTGGTCAGGGCACACGCTCAGGTTGTGGGCTCGATCCCTGGTAGCGTGCGTGCAGGAGGCAGCCGATTGATGTTTCGCTCTGAGGGTGATGTTTTGCTTTCACTTCGATGTTTCTCTCCCTCTCTCCCTCACCCTTTCTCTCTCTCTAAAAATGTAAAGACACAACTGCATGAGGAATCTCATTTACATTTGTCACAGCCTCTTGTATGATGGGGATCTTCTCACTGCTAAGAGAAGAGATGGCATAGGGAAGAGTAAGGTAAACCATTTTATATTACAAAAAGTTACAAAAAGGCCTTCCTTCCCCAACATTTTTACTTTTATAAAGTAAACTAAGAAGTAGTGTAGGGTTGGCTTTCCAGAACATTACCTATTTGCATAAATATTAGTATTGTTGTTGTTGATATTCATAAGTTGAGGGCCTGAGATGACACAGGTATCATAGGCATCATGTGTTTTAGAGTGAATCTGCATAATTGAAAAGTCTGCACCGCCAGGGGACAGTGGAGAACTTGAAAAACAAGGTAACATAATCTATGCATAAGAATTGCGATGGAGATGGATAGTAAATGCATGTCAAAATAATTATACTCCAGTTACAATTAGAACTATTACGTGGCACTGCATATAATTACTGTGTCATGTTTTAGATCTAGTGACAAAACCATATTCCAATTTTTTTTTTTTTTTTAATTATCAAACTCCTCTTTGGCTTATTCACTTTAAGCAACTTTATCAAATACTTGAAGTCCAAATGACTGAGATGGGAAGAGGTATGTCCTACAACAGAGACAGTACATACACATTTCGTTTATCTTCATTAGATTGTATACTGATATCTGACATTATATTTGGGTGATTTTTAATTATTTTCTTTATCTGGGATAAGGGCACAGATTTCATCAGAAGGTTTCTACCTGCCGGAAAGTGTGTGTTTCCTAGTCAATGGGTCTTCACTAGACTCCAGAGCTCCTCCTTACCTCCATGTAGCTTTATAACTATCAGGCATTATACATTTGCCAGTTTATCTTGGGTAAATTCAAAGTATTGTTTACAAAATGTGATGTGTCCTGGGTTGGCAAATTATTGGTAAAATGATTTTGTATTCTCCTGAGTTTTTACAGTTACGGTTACCCAATATCGAAACCAGTGAACATAATACAGTGGTGTATGGTTTTTCTGGAAGGACTATTTTAGAATCATTGGATACTACTGATGAGATTATTTTGTCTCATAATCTGGAGACTAAGACTGAGGTTCAGAGAAACCACGTGATTGTCTTGACACAGCTGGCCACTGCCAGACTAATGCAAAGCTTCAGTCTCTGGATTTTGTTTACGGATAATCTTATAAACTACAGTGAATAAAATGGCTAATTTTAGTGCTTAAAATTAGTGTAAGTCTTTTAGTTGAATCTCAGTGAAAGAACAAATTAGACTCATGTTGGTTTTTTCTACCTTTCTGTCTGATCTCTACCTGTGTATAGTCAGTCTAATTCAATGTTTCCTTTATTTTTTAAATCAAATATATTACCTAAAATTCAGTGATGCTCAAATCTATTTATTCGAATGCCTAGCACGTAGAGGGTGATCTAATTCTAAGTATTGCTTTTTCAGGTAGGATTGTATACTTTGAAGTCCATTAAACAATTTCATTGCCTTTGATATCTGTCAGAATTTAGATTTTCTGGTTTGTCTCATCTTAAACTGAGTCACAGTTCATTTATTTAGTATCGTTTGACAATGATGTGATGAACATAGATTAATTTTTAAGATAATTCAACCCCTGAGTAAACTAATAATTCTTTTGCATGTCCCCCTAGCCTTTGACTACACCTGCATGAAAGTCCTCATTGTACTTAACTGTAATTCTGTTTACCTCAGTTTCCCTTTATTTATTGCAACTCTCTAAGGCACAGAATGTAACCTACTCATATTTACATTACCAGAACTAGTATAGTGCCTGGTGCTTAGTAGATGCTTAAATATTTGAAAAAAAGTGATGCTGCAAAAATTACAGATAATATTTTCAGCAGCTATTTTAGTTTTATTTTTTTTGAAGCGGAACACCTTAAAACTAATTTCATACTTGGCTTTTCTCTTGAGCAGAATATATTTAACATAATTTCATCTTTTCTTGATGAGTTGGAACAAACACATACACGCGGGCCAGCGCCATGGCCTCCTTTGAGTTCCTCAGAAGCAGTATTTGTCTTCTTGCCCCAAGGCCTTTGCACGTGCCCCCCTCCTCCCCCAAAATGACTGCTCTCTCCGCACCCTCCTCCCTCATTTCTCTATCAAAGCAGATTTGTCCTTGGTTCTCTAAGGAAGCCTTCCTAGCCTGCATCCCCCACCCCACTAATCCTAGGCCAGGTCCCCCTTGCAAAACTCATGCTTTCATTTGATCATCCATAGCACACATTTTAATTATTTACTGTGTAATTATTTGGTTCATTTATTTTCTTCCCAATTTAACTCTAAGCTCCTACAGCGAAGTCTTTTATGTTTGGCTCACCATAATATCCATGTAGGCTGAACTTTTTTTGTAGAATGACTATTTCTTGGGAGTCTTCATTACTATACTGTGGTACTAAGTATCTATTGATATATGCAGGACTTTTTAAAAACTTTACTAAATGGACCTGGATTACTCTTCAAATTTTTTTATTGATACGGTTTTAGTTCTGAGGTCTCCCAAATTGTTTTCACATGTCAGCTTGTCCTTTGCTTTTATTGTCAGAGTTTATGTATTTAGTCTTCTCCCTGGTCTCCTTTTCCTTCGTCCTTACACAATAAATGTAGGGTGAAGTGACTGATGTGAGACTAGGGTCAGGTAGGCAGCCAGGCACGAAATTTGTGAGCCACACACTAAGCCTTAAGCAACAGAACACAGACAGAGGCTGCGACACAAGGGCTGTTTCTCTCCCATGAAAAGAAGTTCAGATGATACTGTCAGGGACCAGGCCCTTTCGCCCTCTCCCACCGTCTTTGGAGGTGGACAGTCACCACCTTGTTCTTTGGAAGCCTCCAGAAGGTTCCTGCCATGCTGCCCTCATCAGAGCCCTGTCCCAGGTCTCCGTTGAGCTGGGCATGGAGTCCTTGGCTTTCTAGCAGCTAGAGTAGAGCAGAAGGGAGAAGGCCGGGGAGGGAGGGAGCGGGTCCTCCTCAGGGGACTCCACCGGGCTGGGGTGAG